GTCACAGCCACAGCTGCTACAGCTGCAGTAACATGAGCCAAGGTGTGCAAATTGTTGGCTTTGCGCAGCAGTGACACAAGGGCTCAGAACGATTATGGACTTCAAAGGCACATAGATTCAAGATTAAACACTAAGATAAATGATACAGAACAAGCTGTTGTCATGCTGGGAGATCAAATTGTTGATCTACAGCATCAACTTCATTTACACTGCGATCAGCATACCTCCTCCTCCTGCGTAACTCCAGTTCCATAGAACCAGACGTATGTCTCATGGAAAAGTGTAAGCAGACATTTACTGCATCGTGGTAACATACCTCTGAGATCTTGTCTCTTCACAACATGCTAGTAATACTTTTGCAAAACAAAAGTGAGAATTGTCTGATGCTCATCTGTTACAAGACATCTCTAATGGCAGTGAAAACCTTGATCCTTTCATGCTATGTCAGTGGGAGTATGTGCGGTAACAGTGTATGCTGTCTGTACCATTTGTGTACCGCGCCTCACATGGCGCTGCGAGGGCGAACCACGCCCTCACTCTGATCTTCACAGCAGCTTAGCACAGAACAGAAATGGGGAGATGTGGTGACAGGAGTCAGAGTCCTAGAGGTGGCACCTGTCCTTTGTTCCTTTTCCTGGGAAGTTGCCAACTAGTGACATGTAACGTCGGAATTTGGTGAATGCCAGGGAAAAACGCAATACAAATTAGCAGCTTGTTTATACCACATTAGTTCTGTACACTCCTCAGCCTGTTAGTAGGCCTCAATAATGTGAGGTGTCTGGTGGGTCAGGGCTCACTTAGAGTGCACTACACTCAGTGAGACCTCTGAGGCTGCATTAATTCAGTCCTCCCATCGCTTCTTTCAGCTCCAACTGATAAGACAAACAACACCTGGGATACAGTTCAAGGCTAGCCTGAACTGCACAGAGACCCTGTCTCAAAAAGAAAGACTAGGAGCTGGGGAGATAGTTCAGTGGAATAAGCGCTTGCCTGGCAAGTGCAAGGACCTGAGTTCCACCAAAAAAAAAAAAAAACTATACTCTTGGTGGTGGGCCAGGAGTATAAAATTCACTCAACCCCTGTGTGTGCTTGAAGAGTTTCACAGGATGCTAGGAGATGCCCAGCTCTTATCTTAGTACCCTGGGATTTCTGGCTTCCAAACCAGCACATAGCTGAAGACTTGGATATCTCTGCTCCAGCTGACCTTGCTAGGCTGACACTTACGCCGCTGAGCTATGTCCCCAGCTCCCACCTCACTGCTAAGGTACAAGCAGCAGTTTTCAAGCACACTCAACCGTGGGGAGTGCAGGTGGAGGCGCCTGCATCCCCCTCAGGCCTTCTCGTGCCAGGGAAGCTGCCATCCTTGTGCTCACAGGCAGAGCCCTGCCTGCGCCTCTCTACCTGCTGCAGCTGCCCGCCTTCCAATACAGTCTGGATTCCAGAGCAAGGCCGTAAAGGTGGCCCAGTGACGCTGTCCTCTGCCGTAACACGCCACACACACGAGCCACCCCACACCACAGGAGCAGCCACCACAGGGGCACCCTCAGCTCAAGTGCTGCCTCACCCCAGATGTGAGGCAGGGTGCTGGGAATCTGAAGAAGCACCTCTGGGCACCCTCGACTGAGCCCAGGGGCTCCAGAGCACCAGGCAGGACGAGACACATTCTGTTGCCACCGGGAGGCTCTTTCTAAAGAAACACTCTAAGGCATTTAGGTATAAGTTCAGCCCAAGCCAATAGAGGCTGTAAGTCAACAATCACAGAACAGCCTGCATGTATCCAGTCGGAAAATACACACACAGCTGCCTGCCGGCAACCAAAGCTACCACCGCCACGTCCGGCATGTGCACATGCACACAAACACTGAACCCCTCCACCAAGCCCAGCCACAAATGGCACAGAGAGGCATCTTTCCTGTGCCTCCTCCTCTACAGACTATCTCAACAGAACTGTGTAGCCCTGGACTATGAAGGGCAGGGCTTCCTTAGAGTTCCAACTAATAAATTAGTAATCAATCCAGTGACAGAGAGAACTCAACTGACAAGCTTTGAGACATAAAGACCTGACTTGGTGGCAGTGGCCTGATGCAGGTCTGGACAGAGAGCTGCCACCGCCACCACCACCCCTGTGGGTGCAAGAAACCAGGGAAGGGCGACTGCTGGCCTCACCCAGGCGAGGGGCTCACGTGGGCACTCTGGCTGCCATCTCTACTTTTATGTAGTCTTAGAATTTCTGAGATAGTTAAGAAGAAAATAACTTGGGCCAAGAGCCAGGGAGATAGCTCAGCAGCATAAGCACTGGTCTGGCAAGTGCAAGGTCCCAAGTTTAATGCCCAATACCACAAAAATAATTAGAGCCCAGACATCTTTACCTTTTGTACCCAATCATCTCTTTAACCTTGAAGAGTATCAGTATATGGTTCGCTTGTACAGTCACCCTCCACTTAATCCCAAACATCCGAAGTGCGCACACACACCGAGGGTATCCCATTGTGCTGCTCTGCCCCTAGGAGATGCCTGCTGGGAGTGGCCAGTCGTGCATAGCTGTGCTCTCCTGTGCCTGGCACTGCCCACAGCCGTGCTGAGGTTCACCACTCACTCTCCAGGCTGCAACACTGTGCTGTGTGACATGCCGGCCCTGGCTCAGCGGCTTCTCCTCACGTGGACACAGCTGCAGCAGGGGGTGCCACTGCTGGGAACGGCACATGAGCTCAGCTGACTGATCCATACCACTACTCGCCCATGCCACGTGGAAGCCAAGTGAAAGTCAGGGTCCTCTGCAGACTTGGGTGGAGTGGAGAAAATGCAGCCTCTGCCTTCCGCACCATTCCGTCTTGTAGCCCCAATCCTATGCTCTGTGGGCACTCACGTGCTGCCCGGTGGCCACCACAGAGCTACGGTACAGGGCCACAAGCCAGGCTTGGTTTTCTGTTCATCACGGTGTAGAACAGAAAACCTTACAAGAAGTAAGGTGTACAGAAGAGCCCAAGCCACCTCCTCAGGTCGGCGGGTTAGGGCTGGTTACACAAGATGGGCAGGCCTTTGCAGACACAGAGGCTGGGCTGGCGAGGGTAGACAGGCTCTCTGGGCACCACACTCAGCTTTGGGCCCGGCGGTGCTTTGGACCTGGGCAGTCCCCTCAAGGCCTGCACTCAAAGAGCTTCATCCCTGCCTAGTGCTCTTCTAGGAGACCAAGGGTCCTAGTGAGGTCTGCTGTACGTAGAGGTCCCCTCCTCCTCCTCCCCCCACCTCCCAGCCGTCAGTGCACACTCTGCACACCCCGCTGGGACCTGCAGTCTCACACAGGGCCCGCTGACCCCACACTGAAGCCCAAGTCACCCCTTCCTCCTCACCCTGGCAGCCTCCAATGTGTCTCAGTGACAGGAGCTAACCACAGGCACACACCAAGGGCCAGGGCTGTAGGGCCACATGGTGAGCACAGTCTGTTAGGGACCACTGCTGTGCCCATCGCTGCATCACCCTGCATTCCTTCAGAGCACGGCTCCAGGTTCTCTACCTGTTCTCTCTGCTTTCCCAGGGCCACATGAGGTGCTGACCACAGCCAGTGCAACACACAGCTCTGGCGACCAGTGCCTCTGGGCCTTGGGCTGCCGTGGGGAGCCATTTCCCCTGCCCTGGCTTTTTTTTTTTTCCTTGTATTTTTTACGGAATGGTCTACAGGGTGTTCAGAGTCTCACTACTAGATCGGACTTGTAGTGATCCACCCATTTACAGCCTCCCAAAAGCTGGGATCACAGGCACATGCCACCACACCCAGTCTCAACTGCCATCCAGCACACCCCAGGGGCAGGGCCAGCAAGGCAGGCCCGAGGATTGAACCCCTGGATCTTGCGCCTGCTTGTAGGCACTTTAATCCACTGAGCTATGAGACTGCCCCCCCTTTTTTTTCTGGCTCCTTATCTTAAGGTCATGTTCTGCCTGTGCTCACTCTGGGTCCCAGCCCCTTGCCCCTTGTCCAACACATGGCTTACACACATTGTGACTCACTTGGGTACCCACCCTTTCTGTCCTTTCACTTTACTGGTGTGCTTTAATATCCAAATATTTTCAATTTGATGTATTCAGTGGGTTAAGTTGTTCTTTTTCCATTTGTGTTTTCGGTGTTATATTAACAGTATTTTAATCAATGTTACTTGTGAAAACTAAAATGTTTCCAATTTCCTTTGGTTTTTTTTTTTTTTTTTTTGGTAGTCACTGGGATGGAACACAGGTTCTCACACGTGCTAGGCAAGAACTCTTTATTACTAAACTATTCCTCAAGCTCTAGATTTTCTAAATCAAGCCAACAATAAATGCTGTATAATGGCAGGCCTGGTGTTGCATACCCATAATCCCAACTACTCAGGAGACTGGGGTAGGGAGATCGCAAGCTGAAACCCAGCCAGGACCACTTAGTGAGATGTAAAATTCAAAAAGTGCCAAAGCAATAGCCCAGCAGTACAGCACTTCCATGGCATGCATGAGGCCCTGAGGTCAAGCTCCAGTGGCAGGCATGTCTCACTGTGGGAGACCACGGCTTAGTTTTTTTGTTTTGGTTGTTTGAGACAGGCTCTTACTATGTACTTCAGGCTGGTCTTTAACTCACTATATAACCCAAACTGGCTTCAAACTCACAGCAATGCCCCTGCCTCACCCTCCCAAATGCAGAGATTACAGGAGTGCACCACCAGCTGTGTAATCTCATGTTATTTGTGTGCGTATGTGTGCACATGCGCATTTGGTACAGGGTCTTGCTATACAGCTTGGACTTGTAGTGATCCTCCTGTGTTCAGCCTCCCCAGCACTGAGATTACAGGCATGAGCCACCATACCTGGTTTCAGAGGCCGGCTCAGTGGGCCCCAGGGCACAGCCAGCACAGCATGCAGTACTAGGGATCGAACCTGGGTCCTTGCATTTGCCAGGAAGGTATTTGGACCACTGAGCTATCTCCCTAGCCCCAATCTCATACTTCTAACGGATGAATCAGAGGTATCTGACTCACCTGCTTACGTGACCTCATGGCGGCTTCTTCTAATGTTTCTGCAGCTTCAAATTTCCCCTGACGTCGGTAAAGTGCCCCAAGGTTCTTCAAAGTGGTCGTGACAGTCGGGCTATAAAAAGGTGCACGAGACAGAGCTGTGAAGAAGCATCCTAGCGCAGTCGCTGCCTGTAGCAAAGGACCTGGCGTCTGCCAGGCCCATGTCCTGGGGAGTACAGGCTCTAACTCCCTACAACCTTTGTATCTGGCTTGCTTGTTTTTCCTTCCCACTGTGCATCTTGCACTGGTGCCAGCAGCCTATGGGCATAGCAGCGAGGCCACAGTTTGGGGCCACATTTGCTCTGGCATGGGAACCACAAGAGAGTATTCTTGAGAGCTTGCAATCAGGCAGCCCATCACCCCATGGGGCCGCAGCAGGCAGCCACTGTGCACATTCAGGGCCTGGCCCAGACTGCATGGGATGGACGAGGGCAGGCGGCCCCTTCTCATGAGAGGGAGATGGCACACACAGGGAGGCAAGAGGAGCTGCAGTTGAGGAAGCGTGGCTCTAGCCAACAGGGCGTCTTCCAGGAGACTGCAGATCAATGTTGAGACACTATAGCGGCGCTGCAGTACTGGACTTGCAGAGGTGCTTCACTCTGTCGCTAACAATAGGCACAGGTACTAAATGCAGAAGCCACTTCAGGTCTTTAAGACAAGTACGCACCAGCAGAGAAAGACAGACACAGACATCATGTCTTACGGTAAACGTGAGGGGGCTCTTCGAGGCTGGTGGTATCTACTCCATATAGAGTCCACAGAGTTCTCATACAGATGAAGGAGGAACCGAGTGGTAAAGGAACAAGGAGTCATAGCAGCAGAACAGCAGCAGGGAGCACACTGCTCAGATGAGGCCACAGCGGCTGGAGGCCCGGGGCACGCAGGGGAGCACTAAGGCAGGCCATGGTGGGACTCAGGCTCACCCCGGAGCAGCTGGGAGCATGGGGATGGCCCCTCAGCCCTGCCCATGTGGCCAGGGGAGCTTGCTTCAGGGTGGCCTCTCAAGGCCCCACCACAGGCCTGCCCTGGGTTACTGTGTGGCTGCCTACAAGGCTGCTCTCCTCCTCTCAGTCAGCACTCCTGCTACTGCAGTGCAGGCTATGTGTGCTGATCCATCTCCACAGGCACTGAGCAAATATGGGCCTGTCCAACCGAACACTAAGAAGTTTGCACAGGGGCTGGGGAGATGGCTCAGTAGAATAAGCGCTTGCCTGGCAAGCACAAGGGCCTGAGTTCAATCCCCGGTTCCACCAAAACAAAAAAAAAAAAAAAGAAGAAGTGTGCACATCCACCCTTATCGAGCCATCCCCGTGGCCCTGTACCCTGCCCTGGCTTTGGGTTTTCTGACAGACAGACCTACCTATCCACTTTGCAGGCCTTGTACCAGCCCCCGTACTCTCCAAAGGACGTTCCATCCTTCTGCTTTCCCTAAAGTATAATGGACAATTTCAAATGAGTCATTTGTCTTAACTCTAGGGCATCCAATTTAGAAAATCCCTTACACAGTTAGACTTACTTTGCACTCTTCTCTTTCTTCAGCATGCATCCAAATAGGCTTATTTTCATCTAGGAAAGAAAACATAACACTATAAACTGAAGACTGAGGCAGTTCCCTGGCCAAGCGCTGTCAGATCTAAGTAACTGCAAGGTCTGGGTTTGATTTTTGTCTTTCTCAGTTACTTCTCTCAGCCTGACAGATCAGACTCGTGCCGGAGAAGGCCAGGGAGGAAGGAGCTGCTGCTCATGGCCCTGCAGCCCCAAGACGCAGACGGCAGGTGCCTGGCTGGGGAAGCTCCTGGCTGACGAGCCTGAGGACCGCGTCCACACAGGACTGCTCACGTAACACCTGTGAGCCCATGGAATAATACTCTGCAAATAAAAGGCCTCAGTGAGTCAGGAAATACCCAGGTATGTGAATTAATGAAAACAGCCTGGGCTGGTGAGATGGCTCAGTGGTCTAAAGCACCTACTTAGAACAAGTTTAGCAAAGCACAGAGACCGCGGTTCAATCCCCCAGCACCACATGCCAGCCAGCCGCGACTGAGTTCAATCCCCGGTTCCACCAAAACAAAAATTTAAAAAATTTGTCAGGAAAGCGCTTATTCCACCAAGCCATCACCCCACCCCCCCTTTTTAAATTTATTTTTTATTTGTGTGTGTGTGTGTGTGTGTGGCCAGCTCAGCCCAACTGTGGGCTGAGCTGGCCACACACACACACACACACACACACACACACACAAATAAATAAAATTTAAAAAAAAAACACAGCCGTTTCCCTCCACGTCTAAGGTTTCCCACAGACCAGTTACAACTGTCCTCAATCTAATGCCTCTGTAACACCTGGTAAAGAAAAACAAGCACAGAAGTATTTTTACCTGAACAATTTAAATTCTGTAGAATATAAACTATGAATTAAGCACCCATAATCTTCGAAATAACACAAAAGAGACATAACCTTAGCTCTCTTTAAGACAGACAAAAAAATAAAATAAAAAATAAATTTAAAAAGGGGGGGGTGGGGTGATGGCTTGGTGGAATAAGCGTTTTCCTGACAAGCACAAGGCCTGAGTTCAGTCCTCCGTTCTGGAAAAAAAAAAAAAAACACTAAATAAATAAATAAATAAATAGACAGCTCAGAGGTATGGGCCAAGGAACAGGTTTGCTGAGCACTGGGTCTTAGTCACACCCGGAGAAGCCCTGGGTTACTGTCCCAAGTGCACTCTAGAGTTCGGGGTTCAGGCTGCTCCTGAAGCACACATACATAAGAAAGACACAGCACAGCGAGAGGTGTCATGGATCCTCCCTGACAGAGCTAGCAGCAACACCCAGGCACAGGCACACAAGACACACTGTTCTCACCAACAACAATGAAGTGAAGCAGGCAGGTGAACATGCAACCTGTGCAAATCCTCTCTGCCAAGCACCGCTGAGGAAAATGTGCCAACTCCTGTCTAGAAAGCTGATGTGACGATGTGGGTATCGCCCACCTCCCACTGAATCCCGTGGGAACACGCCATACAACTGCACCTGCCTGGAGGCAGGGCAGTACTCCTTACCATCCACAGAACCAAACTCCCGCTCGTGTGCTCGAGTGAGAATCTCTTTGTACAGTGTTTCTGCTTGTTTGAACTTTCCTTGTTTCAGATAGCAGGATGCCTTAAAGATAAAATACAGCATTTAATGTTCATCACACGACACATTTCTGTGTAGTGAGCAGCAAACATTGCAGAAGCACTGGGGCCCAGCACAGCCTCTGCATACCAGGTTGTTCTTGGTCTTGGCCACGTTGGGGTCATCAGGGCCCAGTTTTGTCTGGTAGATCTCCAGGGCCCTTTGGTAATAATATTCCACCTCTTCATACTTTCCCTGGTTCTGGCATAGTAAGGCCAGGTTATTCAACTGCTTGGCAACGTCAGGATGATCTTTCCCCAGGACCTGGGAATGAACACCAGGAATTAGAAACACTGTTACCACTGCCACCACCTGTCAGAAGGCTCCTTCTAAAACCTACACCAGACTATACTCCACGACCTAGCTCCAAGGGCCTCCATGCTGCATAATGACAAAATGAACCAGAATCTCTTCCTCCTCCTCCTCCTCCTCCTCCTCCTCCTCCTATGTGAGCATGTGTTGTGTTGTGTGTGTGTGTGTGTCTGTGTGTGCATGCGCACACGCACGCTACCAGGAATTTACACTGTGCTACATCTCCAGCCTTTTTTTTAAATTTTGAGACAGACTCTTTAAGTTGCTGAATTATCCAGGTGGGAATCAAACAACCCAAATCTATCTTGTTCATCCTTAGCTACCCAACCCTACACATTAAAAAACAAGCCCAAATAACAATAGGTTGTCTTCTGGATGGTTAACAACCTAAGTTTGCAGACCAAAATTAGAGAAAAGGGCTGGTGAGATGGCTCAGTGGTCTAGAGCACCTACTTGGAACAAGCTTAGCAAAGCACCGGGACCGCGGTTCAATCCCAGCACCACATGCCA